ATGACTTTTCACATTAACTAGTACAGATCTCGTGCGATGCACGGGGTGCACAAAATTAAGGTCATTTATCAAGTCTTATAATATATAAATGAATAAAGAAAAATGTACGGAATATATATAGTACGTGACCTGTAATAGGCCAAAATGTGAACACGGGTGATGCACGGAGTGCACAATTTTAAGGTCATTTATTAGTAAAGAGTCTGTGTGATGCACGGGGTGCACAATTTTCTAGTATGTGTAATACAAATACATACCGTATGCACGGGACATAAGCAATAAATGAGTTATTTCCACATAGCTTTCCTGTTAAGTAGCTCTTGAATACGGGTGCACAATTTGTAGTAGAACAAATTTCCATACAATTAGATAATAAGTTAGATAAGCCTTTTTTATTTAGTAAAGATTTTACGTATTTTTTTTTACTTATCGGATGTCGTGAGATTTTTTTTGTTAAACCGATTTGATGGGATATAATACAAATACAATTAGAGGATTGAACAAAATCAGAACAGATTTCTATATAATTAGATAATAAAAATGAATTAGATAAAGAAAAGAAGAAATTAGATAAAGAATTTTGAATCTACATTTTTTTTTAGTATAGATAGACTTTACGTACAAATTTTGATTTCACCGATTTTATGAGATTTGTTTTGACAAAATCAAAGACGAACACTTAAAAATGTTTCTATTAACATTTACAATGTGTATTTAATGTTTTTATTTTGGAAATTTATTCTTTTTAAGTGTGATATATAAATATTAAAAATACTTAAAATATTTTATAACATCTATAAAAAGCATCTAAAATATTCTATATTATTCACAAATAATGTTTGAAGTTACCGAAATTTTTCTAAACTACCCGTAAGGAAAATATGTCTAAAAATTCTTCATTTGACCTCCATATATGTATATATATATATATATAGAGAGAGAGAAAATGTGTAAAAAGAAATTATACAAATAATATTTAAAAGTATATAAAATATGAGTAATTAGACAGGTGAAATTTAGATTTTTAAAAAATCTATATAGATAATGTAGTTAGAGTAGTAATTAGACTTTTATTTATTTACCTTTAAAGTTGTTACGATAAATGAGGGATGTGATTTTTTTGACTTGTGGAGATGGAATTTTATAAGATGGGTTATGAAATTTTCTTGAACTCGTCCATATCTATGCGATGAGATTTTTAAGCTGTTTATATAGATTTAAAATTGTAAAAAAAAAACCTTCATAAATCATTTGATTTGGTATTTTCGGCGAGCTTCATTAATATAAAAGTATAAAATAAAAAATAAAAAAAGTACAATTAAAAAAGTTACGGCCAGTTGTATGGAGAATTAAACTAAAACCAATTTTGTAGGATGTATTAAAAATTGATTAGATTTTATAAGTAAAATAAAATAAAAAATAACTGAAATAGTTTTACGTGTTGCAATATTTCATATTTAAAAAAAAAATTAAAAAATTTTCTTTTACGTATTACATACCAACATTTTATGAACTACATGGATATTTCTAAATTAATATTGCATACCCAATATTTTAGGAACTAATTCAATGCTAATTTGATTTGCATACCAAAAATATTAAATTCATTAATTAAATGCTTGATAAAAATAATAAATC